CTTCAGGCTTAACTTAAAATCTAAACTGGAGGAGGGTGAGGTGGCTTCAGGGTTTTGGGGTGCAGAGAGTTTTTTTTTACTCAGAAATACTTGTTTGAACTTCAGGAATTTCTTGTTTCTTACAAATCAGAAATGATATTTACTTTACCTACTTGAGTAATTAAACTTTCAGAAATATTCTCTACAGCTTAAAAATCTCTTAATGGTTTTACTTTTTTACAGGGGTTTCCTGTATTTGAGTAACCTCCTGTACCCTGTGCCACTGGTACATCGCGTTGCTATTGTTAATGAACGAGGTGATGTTAAGGGATATTTGAAGGTTGCTGTGCAAGCAGTTGTAGGTAAGTATTTACTCAATGCTTTAGTTACGGAGATGAAGTCACCATATATGTACAGCTAAATAGGTGTTAGAGACAGCTCTTTTTATTTTTGAATAGTTTTTTAGCAGTTTTTAAATCTGTGCATGTGTATCCCAGTGTGTGTGTATGTGTGCTCATTTTAGTATATATATTTTTTTCCCTTTTTTCTCCTGTTGACCCCACAGCTGAAGAAGATGCTGTGGAAACGACACAACCAGCGGGGGTGCGGCAAAGTGCTCGCATATCATTCAATGACGGATCATTCAAGAGACCGCGAACAAAACGGGGTTCCCTCTCAGCTCAGGTACTCGAGAAAAATACAGCTGCAGCAGCTGAGGAAGAACGCATAGTTGAGGGTCAGGTTGCTCCGGGAGACACCATAAAGATCGAAGGTTAGTGGAAGCTTCCAAAGAAGGCACATGTCAGGTTTGGAATAAGTCAAATTAAATATCCATAAACAGTAATGTAAATAAAGCTCAATTATAGATATTGATAAAAGTTTAGGTCATATACAAGCATATAGATAATATTTGTGCTTCACAATTATAGGTATCATTTGAAGAGAAACATATATTAAGACTTGTAATTAGTATATAAGTGTCATCATACATAAATTCAGGAAAGTTAGCTGAACATAGTTAATTGTTGACAAATCCTACATCATCATAGATGAAGTGTGTGAAGTAGACAGTGGTAGGGGCGACAGCAGTGTCAGTTCCTGTGAAAGCTTAAAAGATGAAGACCTTCCACCTCACCTGCGCATTGGCCAAGAGTTTACTTTCCGTGTGACTGTGCTTCAAGCCTTTGACGTGTCAACAGAGTATGCAGATATTTTCTGCCAGTTCAAGTGAGTATTATCTTAAGTGGCTTGTAATTTTTTGTTTCATTTCATTATGAAATTATTTACAATACTTTTCCATATTTTTAAATTATTTGAGAGAAGAATGGTTATGTGCAAATATGTATATGAATATACTGCAGTTTAGATGTATCCTTACTGAACTATGGTCTTTCCTTTTTTTTATTGTAAGTACAAAATAATTTACAAACTATGGTGTTCACCAAAGTAGGAAATTCTTGACAGTGTGATTTTTCTTCCAACAGCTTTTTGCACCGCCATGATGAGGCCTTCTCTACAGAGCCCATCAAGAACACTGGTAAAGGACCTCCACTCGGATTTTATCATGTGCAGAATGTAAGTACTTGGTTTGTGGAGATTTAAGTAAAAAATATAGGGAATATATATTTATTGCACAATTGTAATTTTGAAGTCTTTTTCATGTGTTAAATATTTTGGTTTAATGACTAATTAGTTGTTTGGTATTATCAGATTTTGAAAATATCTGCACTTTCCATCCATCAGATTACTGTGACAGTAACACGAGCCTTCCTGGAATACGTTAAAACCCAACCCATTGTATTTGAAGTCTTTGGACACTACCAACAGCACCCTCTCCATCGAGATGCTCGGCAAGATGCCACGCATTTGTGAGTTCTTGTTTACTTTGTTTTGGATATTGGTTTATCTTAACTCCCTGGATCTGGTTGCAATGGTTACATAAGTGGCCAGGATCCCGGTCATGCGGCGCGTAGGCCGGGCGCGCACGAGCACCCATGAGCAGTGACAAGACTCTGTGCCTCCCCTTTGAGAAGTTATTTTGTGAAAACTTTTTCAGCTTTATTGCCATTTTCCAATGTCCATATTTGTCTTTTGATTTGCTTTCTCCAGATGATAAGTACTTATTTTCCTTGCACAGACTCCATATCATCTCTCTATGTAGTAAATAGCTCAGTGTAAGAAAATAAATATATGGAGCATTTAGTTATTTGTGTCATATATCTCATTTTTTTGTAATTTTCAATTTTACGTAAATACAACCTGCGCTGCCGGTCACAGCATGGATATAGCGTCTTCCCTGGAGCTGGCGCTCTTCCAGTCACTGCTTACACACATTACATTCTACATTCATTTATCGATGGGAATAATGCTAAAGCCCCCTTCTAAGTGCCAAATGAGTCAAATCACACTCCAAGAGGTTTGTGTACTTTTGGCGAGTCTTTTCCTTCACCCTGGCCTTCGCTCTTGATGCTTTGTCCACATCACCCGTATAGCTGCCCAAGTTTTTCCTTGATGTGATCAC